GAGAACCCAGTTGGATACTGAGTTGCCATGGGCTACATATGAGCAGGTATCCTAAGTTATATCCATGAATGGTCCTTGTTTGGATTAACAGTCTCAGAAAAGACTCCTGGGCCCAGATATTTTGGTTCTGTAACCCATGCATTATTAATGTGCTTACATTACAAAGAGAAACAGAAAACAAGGCAGAGTGAAATACAAGGCTCACTTAAGACCACACAACCAATGAGCAGCAAAACTTGAATGCAACTCCAGAAAACATCATCTATGTCCAATAGGTCTCGACTACTCTACACTGATAATAGACTTTGCAATTATTTTGACTTTGTATTACTTACAAACAACAATGAGTCACGAAGAACCCAGTGCCGCTGTGGTGGCTCTACAACCTATTTGTTCCTAGGCCTCTTCCTCTGTTCTCCAGCGACTACATCTCCAGGCTGCATCCATGCTCTATGGTAGCTGCTAGAAAGTCAGGCTCTACTTCAGCTTTATACCTTGAAACAAAAAGGAGGGACGAAAGGACAAAAGAATGGTGCATCAACTCCTCTTAAGATTTCTAAGACACACCATGACACTTTTCTGATTATATGTCTTTCACAAGAATTTAATCATTTGGATATCCCAGATACTATAATTTACTTTTTTGATAGACCATGAGGCAGAGGCATAGCAAATCATTCAAAGACATTAGAAGGAACAATGTGTGGCCATGTAGGAAACAGAAATTTCAAGCAAGAGCAATAGTCCAAAAGAGTAAATAAAATGTGTATTTCAGGTGTAGCTAGAGACCTGATGTTCTGGGAGTTGGTGGGCAAAGTAGAGATTAGTGAGAGATAAAGAAAATCATGATCTAGACAAGGAACATCCTGAGGGACACTAAAAAAATGCTTATGCTCATTTGGATGAGCTGTATAGTCATCTTTGAACACTGGAGTAATATGACCATCCCAGAATACTGGATACTCTGGATACTCTGAGATAAATGGTCCGGAGCAGTAGTTGGAGCAGAGGCAAGTCTGGGGTTGTGAGATCTAGATGCAACAGATGACAAGCAAAAGGCTGAGGCAACATTTCTTTTTTTTAGGCTAAACCCAACATGATCAGCTCATAGTTACATATGAGATGTACAAAGCAGATAAGAGATCAAAGATACCACTACTTTAAGAGTCATGAGATGTTAAAAGATATGACTATGAGAGAATAGGATTTGGGGTGGAATGGTCGCTAAGTCAGTTTTAGGTTGATTAAACTTAAGAAGCTCTTTGAATTGCTGCATAGCTGGTAACATCAATGTCACTTTAACGGACTGGTTGGTTTGTCTTCAACTTATTCTATACAACTAGGCAGAAGAGATGCTGAAAAAGTACTTACAGTCCAAGGACAATGTGGCTGAAACTCTTCTACAGGCAGATCAGTCACTCACGGAAGCAGCAAAGGAGGTTGAAGGTGAGAGCTGCTGAAGAGACTCCAGATGTGTGAGCTCTTGACACATTTAGCAGTATTGGTCCATATGGACCACTGTGGGGAAAGAACCACAAGCATCATTCATGGTGTGCTTTAAAACTGGTACATACAGTCATCTGTTTCCTTATTAACTGGTTATTCTGTACAAAACTTTCCACAAGAGATTTTATCACAGACAAGAAAAAAAGTTTAGAGGAAACAAGAAGCAAAAGCAACTCATAAAATTTAATCTTCGTATTCTTTCAATTTTCCTCCTCAGCGGAGCGGATAAAGGCTGAAGCTGCTGAAGCTGCAAATAGAGAGTTAGCAGAAAAGCAAAAGGAATATGAGCTGATGATGGAGCAGAAGGAAAAGAGTTACCAGGAGCATGTGAGACAGCTCACGGAGAAGATGCAGCAGGACCAGGAACAGTTATTAGCAGAACAGGAAAGAATCATAGCCCTTAAACTTCAGGTAATTGACCAGATTCTCTTAGTCTGTTCCTGTGCCCCAATCAAAACAAGTGTATCATGGGGCTGGAAACACTACAAGCATTTATTGCCCTTGCAGTGGACGGAGAACTGGTTCCCAACACCCACACAGTGACATACAACAGTCCATAACTCCAGCTCCAGATATTGGACCCTCTCTTCTAGCCTCTGCAGGCCCAGGCACGGCACATAGATGGTACATTTACACACACCACAAGCAAAATACTCATGCACTTAAAATAATATGACTGAATCTAAAAATCAAGCAAGAAAACCAAAATGTGAGTTTAGCAGCAGGCTGAGGCAGGAGGATGACTAGTTCAGAGTCAGCCCGGGTTGTGAAGTAAGACCTTCACAATAAAGACCTCTGTGATGCAGTAAATAGTTCAGGCACTCTGATGCATTTTCATTCCCTCACTGCTTATCTCCAGCCCTGTCTAGTGGGAAAAAGCTGTTTATGGCTGGGTGAAACCTTTTATTAGGCCAGGAATTGCTCGGTGCTGCTTAAGTATCTCCTACTTATTTCCATTTAATAAATCTAGACTGTTATTTTGTGTGTACGTTGTAGATAGGGACACTGCAGTTTCATGAGATGTAACTGATGTTTCATGAGGTGTTACTGATACAATAACACCTTATTTTCTCTACTGAATGGAGCCCAGGGGGATTTCACTTCTGACACCCAATGTGACCTTGTCTCTAGAGGCTTCCTAATGAATAATGAAAGTCCCTCGCCGTCGACATACTCAAGCGCATGGATTAAATAGCTGAATTGCAGTACTCTTCATTCTTCTGCAATGGTGCTGAGTTCTCCATGGTGGGCCAGACTATCCTGTGAGGACCGCAGACCCCAGCTGCTTCAATATATTTCTGTCAAAATTTTGGGCATGTTTCTAATTCCTTGATTGAACCCTTGTCTTGATTGTACATCAAGTAGTAGCCTTCCATTTTCTTTGAGCCCATCTTTATCACCTTCATACATGTGTTTGAGAGGCCACACCACACAGCTCAGAGATGAGGCAAGAAACCAAAGGCAAACTGGTGCTGATTTTATAGAAAATGTTGTTTTACATGAGCCAAAGGACTATCGAATTGGACCTGAGGGTCATAGGCCACTAGTGTTTTAGGAACTGTCTAACAACATGTCTCAAACACCAACCTCCCCGCCCCCACCGGTTTCAGTGTAACTACCGAGGGGAGTCTGTGGGACACTGTGTGAGTTCAGCCTTCATTTTTCTTTTAGGAACAAGAACGATTTCTCAAGGAAGGATTCCAGAACGAGAGCAGGAAACTTCAGCAAGAGATTAACAGCATCAAGCATAGGCAAGGAGGTGGAAAATGCACCATACTCTGAAGGTTCGAGACCCAAACATCTCTTCCCAGCTTCTACATCCCATAATATGCCGACTGAGCACCTTCAGGCTTTGACACAACTATTACTAAACTCAACTCAAAATTCCATGTAACTCCAGTCTGTGATCGCTGTAGAAGTGGAGGTTCAGCCATCTATGTTTTATACCTCCTCCTGGCCTGTGTCATGCCCAGACCACAAATGTTTCTCCTTTATAATCTTAAGTTTTCCTCTTTCCTACAGTAGAGCTTCGGCAATCACAGAGCAGGCAACTTTTTAACTAACTTCCAAAATGATTTCCTTTTCATCTCTCTGAGGACTCTGATGTTTTACTACAGTTCTTCAAAACCTAAACCCTATCTCCATTTTCCCTTTTAACTCCCTGCTGTGATGTTATGTCTTGAAATCTCTCAGGATAAATGTCTTGGTATAAGCTTACAGGAACACAATATTTTTGAATAAAAATTAATAACTCACTGAAAATGTTTCAGAATGTATATTATTATTTGTGGTTCATTGAAGAAATAACAGAATCTTCTAATAAGCTAAAAAGTTATTTAATTATAACATTAGCATCCAGGCCATCTGGGATGCTAGGATACCTGCTCTGTCTATCTATTTCATTAAGAATAATGCCACCAACTAAATATAATGTTGAAGTCATGGGTCTGATCACTCCCTTGAACTACAGAAGCAAGAAGCACTTTCGTATGTACATTTTGCTCATATCAAACCCAGGACTGTGACAAGGCACTTTGATTAAACATTAACTCACATGATAACAACTGTAGGTATAAATGTTTAATTATATAGGTTTGAACGCAAGGTATCAGCACTGTGTATGCTCATCGAAAAGGCTCAGCATCGACAGCTGAGGAATCAGAAATCCTGTCTGTCTCTGGGTTAGATCAGATGCCGGCTTCAGATGCTAATCAGTAGGTAGTGCAACAGGAGAGCTGACTACTGAGCATGGAAACCATCTGGGAAATAGAAACCTCAGTGAATAAGCGTTCCTGAGGTGACTCTCACACCAATGTTTCCTTTATTCCAAGTGTGTATTGTATGGCTGGTGATGCAGCCATTAGGTAGAGTTAATCAGAATGCACAAGGTCCTGGGTTCAAGTGTTGCTTAAACCCGGTGAGGTGACACAAGCCTATAATCTCAGCATTTGGGAGGGGAAGGTAGGACAATCAAGAGGACTAGAGACTTACCTTAATAAAAAATAAAAAGCTTTGGTGAAATGATCTGACTTCATTGTATATTTGTGGGAACAGTGTTCTTTTGGGTTCCCTGATCCCTTTTGCAAACACTGAGGAATAGAGTACTGGTTTGCCTTGTTGCTAAGGTAGTAAAATAAAGCATATAGACATATTAACCTATTAGTTATAAAATAAAGCATATGTACACACACATGCTGGAGAGCTTTTGACAAGCCTTCACTGTTTAATGAATGTGTGTATATAATATAATGTATATATAGTATAATGAAATACATCTTCCCATCCCATAATTACAGTATAACCTCAGCTTGTAGGGTGTTGTAGCCAACCTTTAGGTGAAATGTGACATGCCTTTCAATGCCAGTCTGGAGTAGATGCAACTTCCATTCATGTTCATATTATTGATAAACATAAAATGCCTCCTTCTTCCTCTCCCCACGAAAAGCTGAATCTTTAGATTGTTCACACCTCTAGATAAACCCCACTCACCCACATTTACATATCAGAACTAGAGTCCAAATCTCTCCCTGGGATGCTCTGGGATGAGAGTGGTCTGCCTTCCACTTTAGAGAGTAGCTGAAGGGCAGCTTAGTCTGCTTATGGGTGCACTAGTAAGGGGAGCACGGACTGTCTGTGACATGGATTCTGTTGCCTGCTTTTCCACCATGATGCATTCAGTCCTGATGGGACTTAATGTGCTGGGGTAGGTGGGTGGGGGGAATCTGCTTTTCTGAGGAGGAGGGAAGGGGGCATAGGAGGAAGAGGGAGGGTGAGACCAGGAAGAGAGGAGGGAGGGGGCTATGACTGGGATGTAAACGATAATAATTAAAAAAGAATGATGATGTAGGAAAAACAAAAGAATTGGCGACTCATTGTGAATTGTAGCTGATTCACATTACAGTCAGGGAAGTCCTCTGTGGGGGGTCCTCAGGAGATATGCCCGACTATCCTCTGATAGACTCATCCTGTTTTTTCCTGAATCAGAGATAGTGCACTGATATTCCTCATGTCATCATTCAACATAATTTTTTTAATTTATTTTTTTTAATTTTTAATTTTATTTTATTTTATTAATTACACTTTATTCACTTTGTATCCCCCCATAAGCCCCTCCCTCCTCCCTACTGGGTCCCACTCTCCCCTCCTTCCACCCTCTTTTTCCCGAATGCTCCTCCCCAAGTCCACTGATAGGGGAGGTCCTCCTCTCCTTCCTTCTGATCTTAGTCTATCAGATCACATCAGGAGTGGCTGCATTGTCATCTTCTGTGGCCTGGTAAGGCTGCTTCCCCCCTCAGGGGGAGGTGATCAAAGAGCAGGCCAATCAGATTATGTAAGAGGCATTCCCTCTTCCCATTACTATGTAACCCACTTGGACACTAAACTGCCATGGGCTACATCTATGCAGGGATTCTAGGTTATCTCCATGCCTGGTACTGGGTTGCAGTATGAGTCTCTGGGAAGACCCCTGTGTTCAAATTTTCTGGTTCTGTTGCTCTCCTTGTGGGGTTCCTGTCCTCTCCAGATCTTACTATTTCCCACTTCTTACATAAGATTCCATGCACTCTGCCCAACAGTTGGCCATAAGTCTCAGTGTCTGCTTTGATAGTCTGCAGGGCAGAACTTTTCAGAGGCCCTCTGTGGCAGGTTCCTAGGTTGTTTCCTGCCTTCTTCTTCTTCTGATGTCCATCCTCTTTGCCTTTCGGGATGTGGATTGATCATTTTAGTCAGGGTCCTCTCTCTTGATTAGTTTCTTTAGATGTACAGATTTTAGTAGGTTTATCCTATGTTATATGTCTATATGAGTGAGTATATACTGTACGTGTCTTTCT